TCTTTCTCAGCCCTTTTGTTGTCTGTATATTGTAGGGTTACTGATTTTCTTGAGTTGACCTTGTATCCTGCCACATTGATGAAAGTATCAGCTGCAGGAGTTCCCTGGTAGAATTTTTGGGTCACTTATGTAAACTATCATATCATCTGCAAATAGTGAAAGTTTGACCTCTTCCTTTACAATTTGTATCCCCTTGTTCTCCATTTGTTGTCATATTGCTCTAGCTAGAATTTCAAGTACAATATTGAAGAAGTATGGAGAGAGTGGACAACCTTGTCTTGTTCCTGATCTTAGAAGAATTGTGTTGAGTTTCTGTCCATTTAGTTTGATGTTGGCTGTTGGTTTGCTGTATATGAATCAATATTAATACATCTACTCTGTGTTCCTGGAATGAGGTTTTGGGTAGTCAGCTATTAACACAGCATCTGAGTAAGGTTGAATATATATATATATATACACATATATATGCATTTATTTTTAACAAATATACATTTGTATATATACTAAATTTCGCTTATATTTTTAATTATGTTTATCTGTGTGTCTGAGAGATGGGAGAGGGGATTGTCCATGGTAGCTCAATACCCAAGAAGGCCAGAACAGAAGAGGATATCAGATTCCCTAGGCCTGGAGGCCTAGCTGCCTACCAGAACCTGGAGCAGAGCTCTCTTTCAGATAAATAGAAGCTATTTTCTGCTGATCTGTCTGGCTCCCAGCTCTTGAGTTGATGTTTGAAAGCACAATTTTTACATGTGATTTTGCTGATGTATATTTATTATCAATTATCATATTAGTTCACTATAATTATGTAAATGTTTGTTTTACATACCTCAATCTTAATCTGAATTATCACCTATGGTCCTACTTGCTTCGTCATTCAACATTTCTTTTCTCAATGAACTGACTTGAGGAGCCACAGGGATGCCTTTCAGGAGCCTGGAAACTCAGATGACCTCCTCACTCTCCCCGCCCACCAGTGTCTCCATTCCTGCCACTTTTGTCTCTGTGAAGCTTGGTACCTTTTTTTTGTTTGTTTGTTTGTTTTTTTTTTTTTTTTGGTTTTTCGAGACAGGGTTTCTCTGTATTGTTTTGGAGGTTGTCCTGGAACTTGCTCTGTAGACCAGGCTGGCCTCAAACTCACAGAGGTCCGCCTGCCTCTGCCTCCCGAGTGCTGGGATTAAAGGCGTGCGCCACCAACGCCTGGCTTTGGTACCTTTTTAATACAGAAGACATTCCCCTCAAAGTTGTTCCCCTCCCCTAAGATACAAATGAAACCATGTTCTCATTTAAGTCATTTAATAATCCCATTTTCTGTAAGACAAGCACAGCAAAATTATCCTAGAAAAGCTACCTTCAGTCTGCCTCTGCACCCGCTCTCCTATATGCAGAGCTCCATACATCAGTGCACTTTCACACCCTTAGAATAAAAAGTCAAAGACAGCAGTAGGCACGACAGGAACACAGGTGCAAACACACAAGTTTACTACGAGTGTAGGCTGAAAGGCATGAACTATTTTAAATGAAAACTAACTGGAGATAATCCTTTTCATCAGCTATTTTACTTTTAATCTCATATTTTCCCTCAGAAGTCTACAGTCACTCTGGGACTATGTCTCTCTTTTCATTTGGTTGTTTTAGAAGAGAACCAACTTTGGGTATCCTGGTAAAGAAGATGACAATTTTGGCTATTGAGATGCAGGAAGTGGCACCATGTAATTTTGCCACATTATCGTCTTTTCTCCTTAGACCAAGTATTCTCCCACTTGGTGGGTTAGTATTCCAGTTAGGTGACTTCTGGAACGGAGCGGTCCTGTCACTGTTTGGTTTAGGTTTGGTGTTAGTGGTAGCATTAGGGTCAGGGTTAAGAGAAAGAATAAGGATACATTAGTTTTAGGGTTAGGCTAGAGTTAGGGTTGAGGTTATGATATTTCCAAAACTTGTCAATGTCTCCTGCATAGTGAACACTAGGGACAGTTCAGAAGATTGAATTAATCTCCAGTAACACTTTTGTTGAACCAGAAATTCTGCTGCTTCTCTCTGCTAATGTGGCTGTGAGAGCTCAGAAGTTTGGTGGATGGAAAGTGGGACTGAGAATGACACATGTTAATCTCACTTGCACTCATCTGTATTTGGTTGTGTGTGTGTGTGTGTGCACACTGTGTGTTATTACTTCATCAAAATTGTATTTCAGTATCACAGGATTGATGCAAAGTGTGCTCCCTAGTGTCAGACCTCTTAGTTTGGGAAGCCAATTGCACTGCTGATCAGGAATCTCTCGGCATGCCATTTGACTTGTTTTGATGTCAATTTTCTTAAGCTGTCAATGGAAAATAATGGTTAATGCATAAAGCTGTTTCATGTTACACAATAAGTCAGACAAAGAGTTTAGAGTAATGTTCTACCCATAGCATGTGCACAGTAAATGTGTCTGTTCTGTTATCCTTCAGGAAGCAGCCCTGGCTTCTCAATTCACTTATGTAGCACTGTCTAATAAGGTTCTTCCACAGTGTCTTCCTAGCCAACACCCCTCTATTCCCCTTCTCTACCTTTTGTCCCTGAAGACCCCTGAAGCCTTAAAGTTATCTGTATCTTCTGAGCCGGGCGTTGGTGGCGCACACCTTTAATCCCAGCACTCGGGAGGCAGAGGCAGGCGGATCTCTGTGAGTTCGAGGCCAGGCTAGACCGACAGCCTCCAAAACAGAGAAACCCTGTCTCGTAAAAAACCAAAAAAAAAAAAAAAAGTTATCTGTATCTTCTCAACAATCAATATCCATTACACATAGCTGGGATTGCAAATATTTTGGTGAAAGACATTAATGGAGACTGCCAACCACAGCACAGCCATTTCCTTACAGAGAGGCACTTGAGTCTTCTGATAGCCTGACCTTCAGTTAGGAAGTGATTAGGACATCTCAAATAATCCCAAGAATTCAATCAATATGGTTCACTCTTTGGTTGTGATTAGCAGAGGGACATCAGTTGTCACCAGTAGTCTACCACAAAGTCAGATACATCACTCGACTGTCCAGCCTTTCCTCATATTGTTCATTCATTGCATACCCTTGGGATGAGGGTTGAAGGACTCTTCAGGTTTCCATGGCAACAGAAAGGCTATGCTAACTTGCCTACCTTCATAAAAGAAAACTAGTGGACAGTACATAGTAAAAACAAATAAACAAAGTTAATTTCCCTTTAGATTTTAGAAGCCTGTGTTATTGGAGTCTGCTGTGTTAGTGCCAAGAACTTCAGAGCTGAAAGTAAACTCACTTGCTTTTCTGGTTGGAAGTACGCCATCCATTTCCCTGTTTGTTTGATTTAAAATCGTGTCTTCCCTTTGGCCCATTACCTTGCCAGAGAAGGAAATGAGAGCGGGAATATTTCACACCAATTTCCATTTCTGAGCATTCAGAGTGAAGTTAGCAAATTTCTTAGGAAGTTTATTTCAAGTCATCGCTTTGAAAGTCTGCCGATATCAGGAGAGACACATTCACGTGAAATTTCTCTAGCTATGTCGCCACCTTGTGTTTCTTCTGTGAACTTCATTGCCGGAAACAGTTTTCTCTATGGGAATGTTGAGAAAGTAGCTCTCCATGTTCAGCACATCTAAAGTGAGTTTTGAATCCTGTAGCCACTGCCAGTATAGATAGCTTGAGAAAATGGGAGAGAATCCTGTAACAACAGGTATTCTTATACGTGTTTGGGATCTTAGTGGAGGCCACAAAGAGTGGGTCATAAAGACTATATTCATGGATTTTTTGCATAGTTCATTTTGTAGCACCATAGTTTCATTCCTGACAAAACTGACATAAAAATATACTTAATATTCCATCAGACTTAAAACCCTCTTATCTGTACAAAAAGGAGTTTCATTCCTGACAAAACTGACATAAAAATATACTTAATATTCCGTCAGACTTAAAACCCTCTTATCTGTACAAAAAGGAGTTTCACTCCTGACAAAACTGACGTAAAAATATACTTAATATTCCGTCAGACTTAAAACCCTCTTATCTGGACAAAAAGGAGAAATATAGTGGCACCTTGTTTTGCCAGTGAAGTGTTGGTGATCTCCTATTGGGCACAGGCCTGCACTTAAGTGTGGTTTGTATACCTACTGAGACTCTGTTGGAGAAAAATAATTTTGCCTTGGTTATTATCAATTGGAGATATGTTCTAGCCTGTGATTGACAACAGTGATCTGCTTGCAAGATATGCTGGGGCAACAGTGACACAAGTAACCTGAGACTTCATTGGCCATGGAGCTAGGAGAAAACTATACACTACTGTTCTGACAAAGCAATGTGGTAATAACATGACTCCTAATGACATTCCGTCATACCCGGATGAGTGCCTCGCTCAGCCGTCATCAGGGAAGCTTTCTCCCGCAGTAGATGAGAAGACATGCAGAGACCCACAAACTGGACAAAGAGACTGTGGAATACTCAGTCCTAAATGGGATGTCTCTACTGAAATCCTTTCCTCAGGCTCAGGGGACTCTGTGGGAAAAGAAGCCTAAAGTTTGTGAGAGCCAGAGAAGTTGGAGGACACCAAGGAAACAAGGTTTGGTAGACACAGCAGGACGGGTGCACCTCTGAACTCACAGCTCACAGGGCCTGCACAGGTCCCCACGCTGAGAAGCAAAGTGGACACAAGCCTCCACACCTCAGCAAAATATCAATATTCAAATAAAAACTAAGGTATTCCAGGTGTTTCAGTCAGGGAAAGACTGAGGTTCTAAACATGGAAAATAGACCCTATCATCAGTCCCTTTGTTTGCTTATTTGAGAATGGATGGCACTGTGTAGTCCCAACTGGCCAGAAACTTGCAATGTAGACTAGGCTGGCCACGAACACACAGACATCTTGCCTCTGCCTCCAAAATGCTGAGTGTTTACCATATACTTGGTTATATGTCACTTTTCAAGTATGAATTTTTGAGATATTTTCAACTTCAAAATATGTGACCTTTACCTTTGTCTTTTCCTCTGTTTGCTCTGCAGGAAGAAGAATGGCAGCAATTGATGGTTTGTTCACATAAACTGCATAGTGCAAAGCTGTGTTGCCATTTGCATCCTTTATTTGGGTCAGCCCCATATTGAAGGAGTAAAGATACAATGGTTTCTTCACACATTTGTACTGCCTGTTAGTATTGTATCAAAAAACCCACTGTCAATTCTAGAAATGTAATACAGTGGTTTTCCCCAACTAGCTGTGGATTTTTAATTATTTTGCGAGTATGGGTATTTTACCTGCTCACATGTCTGTGCACCCCTTGGGTGCAGTGCCCTCAGAGGCCAGAAGAGGGCATCAGATACCCTGACACTGTAATTACAGACGGGTGTGAGCCACCTCGTGGATGCTGGGAATCAAACGGAATACTAGGAAAGCAGTCGTTGCTTTTAACCCCTGAATCACCTCCCCAGGCCCCAGTTAGCTATATTTAAATGTGGTGAATCCATTTTCCTCCTAAGCATTTCCATTAAATCCTTCTCCACTGAAATTTTGGAATTTGATCTACCTTTCTCAATGGCGTTGTCTTCTCATTGTCAAGTGCATTAATACCACAATTGTTTTCCACTAGAGTATTTACTATTTCTGCATATCCGCAAGAGGATGAAAAATGTAGAAAAGTTCTGTGGAAATAAGAGGTGTCTTTTCATTAAAACACACTACGTCATCATATGAAAACACACACATAGTTGCACATGTCAAATTACATGCAATTCCTCTGCCTTATATTATCACTTACTCAGAGAGTATAAATATGGGAACTCAGAGGACAAAACTTTGTAAATAGTCACTGTCTTAGTTAGGATTAGTATTCCTGTGATGAAACACCATGGCCAAAGCAACTAGGGGAGGAAAGGGTTTATTTCAGCTCACACTTCCAGTTTACAGTCCATCATTGAGGGAAGTCAGGGTAGGAACTCAAGTAGGGCAGGAACCTTGACGCAGGAGCTTCTGCAGTGGCCATTGAGGAGTGCTGCTTACTGACTTGCTCAGTCTGCTTTCTTATAGAAGCCAGGACCACCAGACCAAGAATGGCATTGTCTACAATGGGCTGGGCCCTCTCATATCAATTACTAATTGAGAAAGTGTCCTACAGGCCTGTCTACAGCTCAATCTTTTTTAAAAGATTTTATTTATTTATTATATATACAGTATTATATCAGTGTGTTTGCGTGCAGGTCAGAAGAAGGCACCAGATCTTATTTTAGATGATTGTAAGCCTCCTTGTAGTTGGTGGAAATTGAACTCATGACCTCTAGAAGAGCAGCCAGTGCTCTTAATATTTGGAACATCTCTCCAGCCCCTACTACCACTCAATCTTATGGAAGCATTTTCATAATTGGATTTCCCTTCTTTCAGACGACTTTAATTTGTGTCTGCTGTAAAATTTCACTGAATAAGATGGTAATGAATGCATGGGAATCAGCAAGTTTTCATAGGGGAATTGAGGAGGCTATGATATACCTCAATTTAAAATATAATTTGCCAAGCAAGAAGAGTTTATTGCTTTGTAAATTATGAAGCCTGTCAGTGAGATCCTCCTCTTTCAGCAGAAGTATCTTGCAAATGACCCAAGCCTATTGTGAAAATGGTGGGCAGTGGATGTTCACTCACAGCTCCATTGCAGACATTTCCTAAATGTATCAAATGCATTGCAGACATTTCCTAAATGTATCAAAATCTTCAGATGGGTGAATGAAATCCATCTGCCTGGCTGCACTGGTAATGGTGTTGTGTCAGAAAAAGTACTAAGTCTGACATTTCGGTTCTTTCAGGATATTCAGGCAAGAGAAGAAAGGCCCCCCAGAAGCTTCCTGTGTGTAATGTTTGTAATTAGGTAAAAGTAAATAAAGAAGAATAAAACCCTTTGTAAAACTTCTTGACTGAAGTATGTGCTTAGAGATTGCTATTAGCTTGAGCTATGGTGACAGGTAAGTCCACAGCACACAATCAGTCTCAACTTATGACTTTGGCGATATAATTCTTCTATGTGTTAAGTATTTTTGTGTCTTTCTAAACTGGTTCCTGGATTTGAGGACTGTATCTAACCTGGTTCCTGGATTTGAGGACTGTATCTGGTAGAGTATACATCTCCAATTTGTTAATTGTGGCCTTCATTATTTTTATACATTCTAGTGAAACAGTCAGATGTGATTCACCACGTCTTGCTCTAATCTATCTGGATACGTGTAATTGTTATTTCCAGTTTGGTGACTCTGTCCATTCACTTGTCAGTATTTATTATGCTCAATTCTTCAGTTCTCTAGTCCTCTCGTCAGTTTAGCAGACCGTAAAAATAACAAGAAACTTATGAGTTAAATCTTATAGAACTTGGAACTATTTACCTTTTACAAAGATAGCTGAAATCTATGTAGATCACTTTCTCCTTTCCCACTTTATGGTAATGTATTCCTTGTTTCCAAATGATTTATGAATGAAATTGCTTATTTGTTATATTGGTGACAATCTTATTTCCTCACAATATTGACTGTAAAAATGATTCTAATTCCACTAATGAGCCAGAGCAGAACACTCCTCAGCCCTGGAATTTAGGTTCAGCTATATATATATTTAAAATAGATGCATGGGCTCTCTGCTCCTTCTCTCTGTTCCCCAGTAAGCAGCATCTTCTTGTACAGTGCCAGCATCGACCCTATGACATGATGGTGAAGGATACAGTGAGTGGATTTAGGTATATTGGTCACCAGGTCTGGCTTCAGCTCTGACATTGCTGCCATCAATGACCCCTTCATTGACCTTAGCTACACATATGATTCTACTCACAGGAAGTTCCATAGCACTGTCAAGGCTGAGAGTGGGAAACTTGCCATGAATGGGAAAGGCATCTTCATCTTCTGGGAACGAGATCCCACTGACATCAAGAGGGATGGTGTTGGTGCTGAGTATGCTGTGGAGTCTACTAGTGTATTCACAATTGAGGATAAGTCTGAGACCCACTCCAAAAGAGCCAACATGTCTACTCTTTTTGCTGATGCCCCATGTTTGTGATGAGTGGGGACCAGGAGAAATATGAAGACTCACTCAAGATTGTCAGAGGTGCTTTCTGCACCACTAACTGCTTTGCACCTCCTTGCCAATGTCATCTACGACAACTTTGGCATCATGGAGGGATCATAACCATGATATATTCCATCATTGCCACCCAGAAGACTGTGGGTGACCCCTGAAGGAATATGTAACATGGCCATCCTGAACATCCCCAGAACATCATCCCTTCATCCACAGGTGCTGCCAAGGCTGTGGGCAGGGTCATCCCAGCGCTAAATAGGAAGCTCACTGCCATGGTCTTCCATAATGTTATCCACAATATTTCTGTCATGGACCTGACATGACATCTGGAGAAAGTTGCTAAGTGCAATGACATCAAGGAGATAGTGAAACAGGTATTGAAGGGCCAACTAAAGGACTGTAGTAAGGACCAGGTTGTCCTTGTAGCTTTAGTAGTGATGCTAATTCTTCTGTCTTTGACCCTGTGGCTGGCATTGCTCTCAATGACAACTTAATAAAGCTCTTTTTCTGGTGTGAGTATAAATACGACTACAGGAATAGGGTGTTGAACCTCATGACCTACTTGGACTCCAAGGAGTAAGAACTCCAGGAACACTCACACCAGAAATAACAAGAGAGGCAGAGAGAGGCCCTTGGCTGCTGGGGAGTCCCTGTCCCAACTCAGCCCTCAAACACAGAGCATCTCCCCTGACAGTTCCATCTCAGATCCCCCAGAAGAAGAGGAGGGGTTTAGAGACCATTACTCTCTTGAACACCATCAATAAATCTCACTGCACCTGCTTAAAAAACAGATAGGCAAATAGATGAACTCTTGATAGCTTTTGGGGTGGAATAAGTAGTATTCTTTAAGCTTATGACTCCTGATAGGAGGAACACACTACAGTGCATGCCCCCCACCTAGAAGAACACGGACAGCACAAACTGGAATCCACTAATATTTTTTTTATAAAGGAAGAATATGAAGTTCGGGAGGATAAAGAGTAGGGAATGGGCATCCAGAAGACCCTCCCACATAGGAAAGACATCAGCCCTTCCAGGCCCCAACTTCTGGCGATCCCAGCTTCAGGTGAGCTTGGGTCTCCGGGGGGGGGACAATCCCCATCCTC